CGCCAGAGCAGGGGCACCTCCAGCAGTGGCACAGGACGGCGTCCAGGCGGGTTTGGGATGGCTCCAGAGGGGGAGCCCCCCCCACCTCTCTGGGCAGCCTGTGCCACTGCTCTGCCGCCCTCACAGCAGAGAAGGCCCTCCTCAGGTGGAGATGGAAAGGATTGATAAGCATTGATAAGATCCCTCCTCAGTCTTCTCTTCTCCAGACTGCAAAGCCCCAAGTCCCTCAGCCTTTCCTCATCAGAAAGATGCTCCAGTCCCCTCATCATCTTTGTAGCCCTTTGCTGGACCCTCTCCAGCAGTTCCCTGTCCTTCTTGACCCGGGGAGCCCAGAACTGGACGCAATACCCCAGATGTGGCCTCACCAGGGCTGAGTAGAGTGCTAGAAGCCCAGAGACACAGCTCCCCAGCCTTGGACAAGGCTCCCCGCCAAAGCCTTGATCCCTGCCTGGGCAGGGACAGCAGGCAATGGGCAGATGGCGCCGGGAGAGCATCCCATCCGCAGAGATGTTAGCTCCTCGTTGGCTTCCTCCCAAGTCTTTCCCAGCAGCGTCACCATCACCTTGCCTGACCTTGAGTTGGCCATCTGGTGGCCCCATCCCATCGCTTGTCAGCCACAGGCACGTCTCCTGTGCAGACCTGTGGTGTCCGAGATGTCCCCGATGCACAGAGCTGCTGGGGCTTCGACCAGGGAGCCAAAGGAAAGGATCCACTGAGGGAGGGGTTATTGCTGAGCTACCCACTACATCATCGCTGCTCCACAATAGGTGGTGAAAGTGAGTTCTTCTGTCTCCTCCGCAGGCTTTATCGGGTGGGGGGGACCCAGCATCCCAGGTGGGGAAGAGAGGAGACCAGCACACACTGGTCCAACTGCAGGAAGCACAGGGGAAGGTCACAAGGGCCAAACGAGGAGGGGTTGGAGCAGCAGGGACCTGGGAGAGGTGCAGGTTCCCCTACACCCCTCCACCTTTGTGGCAGACAAGGTCATACCTTGGGAGATGCCTCAGGAGGTGTCCTTCTCCAAGTGAAGGTTCATCTGGTGCCTTAGTGCCCACCTGAGAAATGACTCATCTTCATCCAGCTCTTTTATTTTTAAAACCAACGCACAGAGTGGGGGATCCAGTGACAGCAGCAGAGCTGGCTCGTGTTGCACCCGCTGAGAGAGGGCAGCCCCCTAGATCTGGGGGGAAAACACGTATTTTATGCTCCCACACACTCCCCATCCTACCCGAATCCTCCAGCCAGCCCTTTCTATTTCTGTGCACAGATGCAGCTTAACCCACATTCCTCCTACACATGCTTAAGGAGCTCAGTGCCCTGATGCAATTGGTGTTTGCAGCTGCAAACAGCTGGTCAGAGATTGAGACGAGTGTAAATAATAACACACTTCTGGGCTGGGTAGAATTTGGGATGGCTTTGGGCAAACAGCAGCCTCGTGTTTCCCTAAGCTGGGGCTTGGGCTGGCAGCAGGAAAACTCTTCAGAGACGGGGTGGGAAAACAGACACAGGGGTATATTTCATTTGAGCGCTGTATTTTATTCGAAGGAAGAGAGCGTTCCTCCTGCCTGCCTGCAGCCGGGCCAGACCTGGAAATGGCATGGCCAAATTTTGACCAACCTACTCACTTTCTGTGGCAAATCGTGTGGCCGAGGAGATGACATGGGCGATGTCTGCCTCGGCTTCAGGAAGGCTTTTGACATGATCTCCCACAGCATCCTGGCAGCCAAGTTGGAACCCAGCAGTCCGGATGGGTAGCCTCCCAAGAGCAGTGCAAGCTGGGTGGTGGGGCTCCGAGGGCAGTGATAAGGGCTCATAATCCACCTGAAGGCCAGTTGCAAGAGGAATTCCACTGGGGATGGGGGAAAGGAGGGCCATAGGTGGGTAGAAAAATGGGTTGAAGTCTTGCATAAACTCTGGCAGGTAAGCAAGGATGGAAGAGTGGGAGTGCATCGTCTAGAGGGGAGGCGGCTAAGCGGGGCCAAAGGTGTCCATGTGACATGGGCTAGTGTGGGCGAGAGCGGTGCCAAGGCAGATTTACTCTGAAGTAGAAAATACAGGCATCAGGAACTGGAAACTCCAGGAGTCACCAGGTGTAAAGCCACATGTCAAAGTCACCGTCCTGCAACATTGCTGAAACCCCGGGGCAGGGAGAGCCACGGGTTCACGAGGGGTCCGACATGTCCTTGGGTAGCAAGACCATCCAGAGCTACCTTGACATAGGTGCCCTACACGTGCGCAGGCTCTCTGAAGGTCCCACACAGCATCAGCTGATCCTGGAGGGTTTAGGATGCAGATTCCTTGGGAACTGGCTCTCCCGGAGCAGCGTCCAGCTGGGCTGTTTGCAGATACTCGTGATTCCTGAGAAATGGGTCCTTGACGCTCAAGCTGGGTACCCAGAGTGACCGAGTGGCTGGGAACAGCCTTAGCTCTTCCTCCATATCTCCACCTTTGCAGCAGGAAAGGGGAGAG